TGCTGGCAAAAGAGCAATTGGCTGTAAGTGGGTGTTTACTGTGAAAGTTAATCCTAATGGCTCGATAGCACGGTTAAAAGCTCGTTTGGTTGCAAAGGGGTATGCCCAAACTTATGGAGTGGATTATTCTGAGACTTTTTCTTCTGTTGCAAAGATGGCGTCTATTCGGCTTTTCATCTCTCTAGCTGCTATCTATAATTGGCCTATTCACCAATTAGATGTGAAAAACGCCTTCTTACATGGCGATCTGCTARAGKWAGTCTACATGGAGCAACCCCCCGGGTTTGTTGCTCAGGGGGAGTCTGGGAAGGTCTGTAAATTACGGAAGTCGTTATACGGCCTAAAGCAATCACCTCGTGCACGGTTCGGTCGGTTCAGTTCTGTGGTAACTACATTTGGGTTACGAAGAAGCTCATATGACTACTCAGTGTTCTTTACTTCATCTGATTCTGGATGTATCCTGCTAGTGGTTTATGTCGATGATATTGTGATTACGGGCAGTGATGAGAATGGAATTAAGAAGTTGAAAGATTCCTCGCATCTCAAGTAAGGACCTTGGTCCACTGAAATATTTCTTGGGTATTAAGGTATCTCGGAATCACAAAGGAATTTGCCTATCTCAACGAATATACTGCCTTGACATACTACATGATTCTGGCATGATCGACACGAAACCATGTGAAGCTCCTATGGTTTCGAATGTAAAGCTGAAGTCTGATGATGGGGATCCTCTTGAGAACCCAGAGAAGTACAGGAGAATTGTGGGACGGCTGAATTATCTGACAATCACACGTCTCGATATTGCCTTTCCGGTAAGTGTATTGAGTCAATCTACACATTGGGATGCAGTCTGCCATCTTTTGAAATATATGAAGGGAGCTCCTGGTTATGGCATCAAGTACCAAAACCATGGTCATTATGTCATAGAAGGGTTTACTGATGCAGACTATGATGGAGACCCTACAACCAGACGATCAACAACAGGCGACTGTGTCTTTGTAGGAGGGAATCTGGTATCTTGGAAAAGCAAGAAGCAGAATGTTGTATCAAGATCAAGCGCTGAATCTGAATACCGTGYAATGGCTCAAACTACTTGTGAGTTGATATGGCTGTGTAATCTATTGGGAGAGATTGGATTTAATCAATCTAAACCAATGAATTTATGGTGTGACAATGAGGCAGCTATCCATATTGCAAGCAATCTTGTATTTCACGATAGAACTAAGCATATTAAAATAGATTGTCATTTCACTCGGGAAAAGCTTGAAGATGGATCTATTTCAACCTCTCATGTCAGAACTAGCAATCAATTAGCCGACGTCTTCACCAAAGCATTACCARGGAACCGAATCACATCTTTTTGTAACAAGCTGGGCATGATCAATATATATGCTCCAGCTTGATTGAGGGGGAGTGTTAATTAAGTAACCTGTTTATGGTAATGTGTCCAAGCCCGATGGGCTTTAGTGTTAGGGTTTCCCGTGTAATTATGTCTATATATAGTGTCTCTCTCTTGTAAATTTGAATTTTACTGATTAATCATATAATAGAGAGTTCTCTCTGATTACATAAATCTTAGATGACATAATGTGACCTAAGTTGTTAATTGATGCGCAATAGCGGTGCAATAGGGTTATCGGTCATAAGCAAAATAACGGTGGTAAAATTGCGGGGGAAATTGCGGTTTCGATAATAGCGGCGCAATTTACTGTTTTTTTACCGATATTTGAGGTAAATAGCGGTCCCTCAATACCGATATTCTCAGTTGGGCCTCTTTTGGATAATGCTTACATTTTTATCTTTTGTTGGCCTTTTATTATGACTTGGGCTTTTATTTTGATTTGGGCCCTTATTTTATTTTAGTCCATCAACAATCAACGAATATCATCCAACATCCAGTTTAGAAATTCTTAGAATCTTAGGTTTTCAATTTCTTTCTATCATCGTCAACAGTCAACCTTCTTCGACATTGTTCGAGTTTTCTATCATCGTTTATGAACACTTTTCCTATTTTGTTTTGTGAAACTTGTTTTAGTTGATGTTTTGATGTTGAAACTATATTTTTAATTAATGTATATAATATGGTTATGTATGTTTACATATATATATATTATATAATTCTAAGAAATATTATATGAACCACTACTTTTGGACCGCTATACCACCGCGATAACCGCTATTTCAAATATCAGTGTTGACGGCTATTTTGTACTCTGACCGCTTTAACAGAATAAAATGTGACACAATATGGTGAGTTCCATATTCATCTCATAATCACCTGCAGACTATATCTTGACTCTTGAGTAATTTCTGCTTCTATATTTTCAGATTCTAATAAAGAGGCATTCGAGAGGTAAAGGCTTCTGGTGATCTACATTGTTAATTTGGTGATGTGTGTATTAGAAAAAAAAATAGAAGTACCAAACAATTCTTTCAAAGTGAGCATCTTTGCTTACCTCTTCACGAGGAAAGTATCCAAACTGTACCAGAAAAGAAGACCTACTAATATTACTTATTCTAACAGATTTATGCATCGGATTTGCTAATTTCTTAAGTTAAGAATAGAAAAAACACAATCAAAAGTTAAAATCTAAAACCAAGATAACATGGCAACCATCACAAGTAAAGTGATGGACCACCACAGAGAATCATGTTGTGGAACTTCTGCAGCTACACACATCTAAAATAATTAACTTGTCCATGTGAGAGAGCTGATATCAATAGTATGTTGTGGAACTTCTGCAGCTACACACATCTAAAATAATTAACTTGTCCATGTGAGAGAGCTGATATCAATAGTATGTTGTGGAACTTCTGCAGCTACACACATCTAAAATAATTAACTTGTCCATGTGAGAGAGCTGATATCAATAGTATGGCTCTGTATTAAATCTGACTAACTTCAGAACTATCAGTTCTATGATAACAGAATCCTACTTTATTTGTAGGGCCAAGAGATTGAAATATTGGGTAGTGTGGTAAATATAGAGGAAAAGCACCTTAAGAGTAAATGATCGCCCATCGCGACCATCAGGGAAAAGCACCGTCAAGAGTTTCTTATCTGCTTTCACAACCACACTGAAATTCATAGAAAGAGATCACTACTAGGCAGAGAAAAAACAAATATCAGGATAGAAACTATGCAAAGACAACTAATGTAATGGAGGATGGGACTTTTAGAAAGCAGGCTAACCTGCCTGAACTGTTGAGGTCTATGCCACCAAGGGTCAGATTTGCCTCACCCCCCTTTTCAGAACTAGCATTCTGTATCAATAAGAAAAACTATGAACAAACCATCTACATTTTAGTAATGGGACAAATAAATACATGAAAATGAGAGCTATTTCCTTGGAGGGCTACTGCTAGGTATTTTCCATACATTCTCCTTCTTTTAGTAACAGTTCAACCAGCTGAGATCTATAAACAAATAGCTTAAATCAACACAGCTTCTAAAACTATGACAAAGAAATTACTACGTTATCAATTGGCCAAAATGCATCCAAATGTAACGAAGTTTGCTTTAGTTCCTATTTAGTGTACAATGTTTTTTTTCTGCAAGTAGTGTAACATACATTCTATTGTTCCTACTTCCTACCCATTTTGACCTATAACCAGTAGATCTTATAACTATTGATGGCGTGGATGTCAAGTTGTCAAGTTATATTGTAATTTTCTTGATTACGTGGCAAAATCAGAAACCAGCAACAAGAAGCAAAGGTTGTATGTCTCACCAGTCACAACATCAATACAAAAAAGTCATTAAGAAACATGAAGTCCTTTATTGCCCCTTTCTTTCTCTCTTTCTTCATCTTTAAGTTCATTTACTTTGTCGTTGATGATTTTAAAGCTGTGAAATTAGCAGCAGAAACTCCAGCTAACATAAGCACATAAAAGAAACCAAATCAATGATACAAAGCGACTTGACGGTGTATCAAACAGATAACACAAAGCCACTTGACAGTGTATTGAATTAAGAAAACTCAACTAGAATTGATATGAAGTTGTAAAGCCAACTCCAGGACAAACTTAATAGGCATAACATGTGTGGTGAAGTCTTAATATGTCCATAAACGCTTCAATATATGGCTAGTAATGAGGCCAGTCTTTCCTGGCATTAAAAAAAATTCTCCCAGGAAAATGTAGCATTAAATAAATGTGTTCTCGGTGCGAGATCTCCTTACCGTCTATATAAGACTATTACTGTGTTGTACAATTTAATTGTTAGCAAAGACGTAGGTATTCCATCAACCACTATACAAACTAAGAACTGAGCATCAATTCTATGAGGAAGATGTAAAACATAAGGGTGGGAAAAAAAAATTAGGTGGTATGAACGAAAAGCAATTTCAGGTCCTTGGAACTACTATTGTACTACACATTGTAAAGGTTCATTGCTGGTCTTTGGTCTCAGCATACTCTAATTGAAGGCCAGGATTTCAATTATGTTCCATTTGCTTATGTCCTCTGGTACTCTACCTCTACAAATAGGTGGTTAATACAAAATTATGAACTACATATTTAGTGATGAACTTAATTTTAGAAAGATTCAATTTTTATGCATCAAATGTGATACAAATGAATTGTGAAAGGACTTCACGTAGATGCATGACGGATACAAGTATAAACATCACAAGAAACTAAAGTTACATATGGTGATACAACACATCTACTTGCCTAGTTGTCTTCATAATCAATGTGATTTTTGTAATCCTAAGATTTTAGAACCTGTACAGAAATTATTGCAGTGATTTATCACATGGAAAAATAACTTACTAACATAAGCTTGTGAACTTCCATATTCATAAGCTAGAGATCTAATGAAAATTGAAAATGAGAGCAAGATATTCCCATAATACGCAACTTACTGGATCACTTCGGAAGAAGACCAATGAGGTATCTGTAAGAATGAACCATCTTTTCTTCCATGAGGTCCAGCCAATCCCTACATAAGTGTAAATTACACAAATTTATTGAGAGAGCAGAAAAATGCCCTGACATTGAGTAATCGGTAATACAGAACTATGCTTGTCATGGCAATATACATGTGCTCCTTTTAGAATATGCATACCTCAAAACATAGATGCTTAATGTTCTGAGTAAAGAATATAGTGTCTTTAAATTTATAATTTACAAAAAGTTTCTCTGGCCAACAATGATTATTTGGCATCAACTGTTGGTTAACATTAACCCATGTAATGTCATCTAGAATATCAGAACAAAATGACTTCACTAAGCAACCCGAATTTATAAGTTGCAAACGTACTTGAATATGATAAGACTCAAACAAGTCAACATTAACTTAACAACTTTAAGATGCAATCATAGAGCTAGGTGAGCTAGGTGGGGTAGGTAGGGGGAGGGACATTCAGTGGGTAAAAAAAGAGGTGTCCCAAGTCAAATAGGACGATCAAGAGTCCAGAACAGAAGCAAAAGATTACCAAAACAGATAGCGTAAGCGAAGTTAAAGCATTCATCTCCCCAGAGGAGCAAACCAACTGTATAGAAAGTCCTTTGGACTTGTTAATAAGAATTCATTTATTTTAATTCCTTTTATTATTTTTTGTAGGATGACATATCTTAGCATAAATGTTTCAGACCAGTTAGAACACAAGAATGGCAGATACATCTAATTACGAAATATTACTAATTTTGGAATTACCTAACAATACCAGCACACAAAGAAATACAGAATTACAGCCTTACATGGTTTATTTAGAGGTTGGGAGGCCACAGGTCTATCAAAGACATGGCCATAATGAAAGGCAAAAATAATCACTCTAATTAGCATAATAGGAGAAAGAAAATCTGTATCGCTTCCCAAGTTTAGAAAGCATGCACTGGTTAAGATAACTCATAAGAAGAAAAACACCAGAGAAACACTTTTAAACATTGAACAATAGGGAGCATTCACCTTTTGATGACAGAAACAGTGGTCCACTCTTGTAAACCTGTAAATCATCAATTGTAGATGCATGAAGTTTTGCTTGTGCTATAACCTGATGGCTTAAAAAATGATTCTGGCTGAAGAAAACCACAAACGGACAAGAGAGAGAACAATTTCATCATGCACATTTCTTAGATAAGGTCCTAAATAGCAACCAATGTGGCAGTGTCAGCAAGAATTGTTATTTGTAGTCAGATTTTTCCTTTCTCCAATGTTAAGCACCATGTGAGTCATATTCCCTCCATCTGAAGAAATGCTACATTTGGGTTGGCCGATAGTTTGATAAAAATGTTCGATTGTTTAATCAAATGTCTAAAATGCCCATTAATTGGGACAAATAAAGAAAACTTGTGGCCAAAATCAAACTTACTATTTTCAAATAATGATTACTAATGAGCAAAAAATGTAAATATTGAACTAAAAAACTTAACAGAAAAGGAAGTGTTACATTTTTAGGACAACCAAAATGAAAGATATTGGATATTTTGGGATAAGTAAAAACTCCGCATCCCAATTTTAAAAGAAAATGGCATTGTGCATTCACAATGCTAGGATGATCGAGGGTTGGAAGGCAACAGTAATGTATTCTATAGATCTCAAGACAGAGGATAAAAGAAAGGAAAAATATATACACTTGCATGATGATATAATCATACCATTTGCTTATAATTTTCTGCTCAAAATCTAGGTTGAAAACAATAGCCCCAACTCAAACCAAAATCATATACCCAGGTTTTGTAACAGAAGAGTCAAGCAACTACAGAAATGTTGAAACAACAATCCCTTCATCCCAAAATAGTTGGGATGGGCAGAATTGTCTTCTTCTCTACAAAATGAATCTCAACAAGTTCATTTTTAGTTTGAAATATCCCATGTTATACATTGTACATCATGTACCATCTCCCATGTTCAGAAGAGAAATGGGAAGAATAAAACCAAAATAAAATTGAAACAAACAAAATTTAACCTGTGACCAACAACATTACGAGCACTGTATATAACGGAGTATACAACATTTCCCAAGTTCTAGAAGAAGAAAAAATGTTGCTTGCCTGCTTAATTTTTAAGATCAACCAGTCTAATATTCAACTTCAAAGTTACTAAAATTTCTTGCAAAACATTTAATAAGTAAACATGCACTTACAGATAGAACAAAAATCAGCTAAATGTGTTTAAAGAATGGAGTGAAGTTTGAATATGAAAAAAGAACGATGCAAGTAATAATCAATTTGGAAGTTGGTTGGGAGAACAAAGGAAAAACCTTGTTGCCATTACGAGAACTCTGTCTCTCGAAATATTGATTTGCCCCTGAAGAAGGTGGCAAGTTACCACCACCGGCATCTCCCTACAACATAAAAATAACAACTTATCAACGAACAAACTTCCTACGAATCGCACAGACAACAATGTAAAACACAAATCCCCCCTGCCACTTCCAATAACGCCGATACTGGAATTCAAACCTGAGGAGGATGAGCATCGGCGTTGGTTTTGGCATCAAGGTTGCCTTTCCATTCACAATTGTCTTTTTTGGAAGTAGAATTGCTTTTCGTCAAATCAGCATTGTTCTTTGTAGCAGCATTGTTGTTTTTCTGATCAGCATTGTTGTTCTTGGAAGCAGAATTGTTGTTCTTCGAATCAGCACTGTTTTTGGGATCAGAACTGTTGCTTTTGGCATTAGGCATCATTCAATCGGAAATTGCATACGATAAAATCAGCCTTGCGTCATTCAAACAAAATCAACAACCTGCAATCACAACAATACTTCAAATCCACATCCATCCTACAAATTCAAAAAGGAAATGCTATAAGAATACCTTCAATCATTCAAAAAAAATCAATAACCTGCATTACGTCAATTACAACAATACCTAAATCAAAATCGATCGTAAAACTGTACAAATTCAGAACCACATTTATTCCAACAAAATCATAAATGAATCAAGAACACTTGCATTTCTTACGGAAATCAAAAAGTCGACGACAAACATTACGAAGAAATCTGAGAGGGAAAAAATGCGGAATTTTTTTTGGTATTTTATTTTTTTGATTTATGTTTTTCTTTTTAACGGAACCCCGAAGATGAAGCTAAAAACACACGTTCTGTTCGTTCATCGCCATTTTTCTTGGGTTCATTGCTCTTTTACCAAAATAATCGCAAATATATGTCTTTTCGCTTTTGTAATTATGTTTTAAAGAATATGGGAAAAAAACACTAAATACGGAAATCACATTACATTAAAAAAAAAAAGGGTCCAATCATATGTGATTTATGATTTTACACTAAAATCACGTGAGATTCATGTGAAGGTTGTTGCCACATGTGATTTTGCCGGTGCCGTCCTTTAGCATGTTAAATATGAGATTTTAAACAGGCCCTTCGAAATTTTGGGGCCCAAATTTACATGTGATTAGGGTCTTTTATTAACCTGTATAAAAATATAACCGAAATTATTTAAGTTCAAACAATTAATTGTTTGGTTTTAGGTTTGAATTATTAATGGTTTAGGTTTAGTTTCATATTGTTAATCGTTTTAGGTTTAACTCATTTTTGTTCTTAACATATATTTTCTTTTATCTCATTTATGCAATGTAATCAAAAGTTTTGGATGTAGCAGGGCCTCCAAAAAGATTGAAACGTCCCTGGATTTTGCACGTAAACCGGTTGTTTTCCTGATCTTTTGTTTTGTTACCGTTTTTGTTTAAACCCCTCTATATACGTGTGTGTGTGTGTATGTGTGTGTGTATATATATATATAGGGTTGGATTCCGATGAGAAGAAAAGTTATGGTGAGAAGCGTAAGAAGATTGGATCAATCTTAATTAGATGTCAACACTAATGAGGTGCACCGAAATGTACCGAATCAATTCTCTTCTAAAGCGCAAATCATTGGTGAGTATGAGATTAAAAGTTTTCTGAGTTAATACGCGGTTTAGTCGTACGTTGATAAAGCCATCGACTTGTATTCCCTTTGTCCCCATTCTTCCTTCCCTTCTTGCTATGCTTCGACTCCAACTACTCTCCCTCTCCCCTCGTTCATTTCAACTGGGTGCATTTTAAGGCCAGAATCAAGAAGGATTGTCGAGCATTTATTTCTTCTTTCAACCTAAGGGTTCAAGTAGCAAGTTAACCATCAACATCTAACCTACACTTTGAAGCTTTGCTTGGTCTTACAGGGTTTTATCAAGGGGGGAACCTAGCAAGTGAGTTTTAAATGTTTTGTAAACTAAAACACAAGAATGGTGTCTGATTGGTTTGAGCTTGGCTCCAAAGGTCAAAAGTACCAGGAGGTTCAAATCCAAGGAGGAATAAAAATTCCCTTGTGGCTACAGAGGTTCAAATGCAGTAACTCCGGGCTATCTGCAAAGCAGGTGGTCACCCTGGGATTAGCCGGCTCGCTTAGCAGGTTGGATATCCAGGTTAATCAAAAAAAGACGTTTTGTAAACTAGACACATACCTAAATATTGAGGTTGTTTACACCATGCCCATACTCGCTAACACTTGTTGTGTGTCAGCATGTATCTCAGGTTCTAGTGGCGTGGTTGCCAAGAAGGTTTGACCAGTCCTAATAGAGTGAGCGTAGGGAGCATTTTGAGAGGCCATCTACTGAAGTTATTTTTGGTGACACCCAGTTATAATCTTATTTCTTTTAAGGAATTAGATTAGGATGTTGTTATCCTCATACCCAACTGTTACACATTGTAATTAACTGGCGTATTTATGTTTCCCCTTTTGGGAAGGCTCGCACTTTGATATTTATATACCATATTTCCAGTTTTTGTTTAGAAAAATTTGGTACATGCGAGTATATATATTCATAAATATCTTTAACATTTATAACTTCATATGTGAACTAAAAAAAAACTAACTTATAACGAACTGATAAAAATGTTCAAATATAGAATAAACGTTAAGTTCTACTGATACAACAAAATACTCCATAAAAATGGTAATCAATCAAAAACATCATCGCTCTCTCAAAATCCACACAAAACAATAACAAAACGAAGCATGAATCAAAACTTGAATGTTAGAATTCCCGACTTTAAAATCGAGATGTATCTCATTACATTGCACGAGTAAACTTTTGATACTCAATCAGTTCCGAAATAAGTGTCCACAACGAAAAAGACATATAATTTTAAAAATATATAATTTTTATCAATTTTAATTAACTGGATGACAAATTTATCTTTAATGATAGAGAAATAAACTTCCATCATCTAATAGCTTAGGTTAGAGTGAGAAAATAGACATTTATTTTTTAAAATATTATAAAACAAACGAAAATACTTTTATTTTAAAACAGAAGAAGTATTCATTTCGCGTATTTTAGCCTTTTTTTTATTTTTTTTATTATATATTTTTCTGCCTTAAAAAATAACTTAATTTTTCTATGTACGAATATATAAGAGATGGATTCACATTAAGATAGAGTGGAATTCCATGATATTATTAAAGGGGTGTTTGGTTCGTAGAATGGAATTCGATGGAATTGCAATTCATCAAATGAATTTAACTTTGAAGGAATGTAATAGAATTTGACCATGTCTTTTGATTGCGTTTGGTTGGATGGAATTGGAATTTTTTTTGTTTCTTTCACGAAATTCAACGAGAAAATTACAGGCAAAAAAAACCGAAATCGATGGTAAAAACTGAAAACCGAAACTTTCGGGCGGAGTGCGGGGACATCTTATCGGGGACGGGGCAGGGATTGGGGACAAATTCAGGGATTTTAACGGGGACGGGAGTGGGGACGGTGATCATCGGCCCGACCCGGCCTGATATGTGTATTATATTAATTTTAATTTATATATATATATATATATATATAATATCATTAAAAGAAAATAGTAACATTGAAATTTAAAAAACTTTTATCCACTTTACTTCAACAACCCAAATAAGGCTCACAAAAAAGTCTAATTTATTTGTCTAATTGTGAAATCGTGATTTTAGTTGTATGATGTTTGATGTTCTGTTTTGTTTTATATTGTAATCTAATACATTGTTTGTAATTGGTTCGATTATGTTTGAGATATTTAAACTTGTATCTTTAAAAAAATTGTAATTTACTTTTAGTTGTGAAAATTAACATATTTTGTTTCGAGTTTCGGTTACAACCAACGGTGAACGGGAAAAAGAGGATTTTTACTTTAACAGGTTCCCCAACGGGGATCGGGGAAACCGCGGGGACCCGATGGGGATCCCCGATAAGATCTCCGACGGGGATCGGGGCAGTCACGAGGACGGTTTTAGTTATCGGTTTCTGTGATGGGGATACCAATAACTGGCCTGAACCTGACCCATTGTCATTCTTGGTTTTAAACGAGATCGAGCATAGCAAAACAGAGCAAATCGAGATACAGCGTCGATGAATGGATGAGGGCTAAGGAATTTGTCGGATTGAAATTTGAAATCCGTGGTATATGCGGTGGAATTGTGAAATCAATGAATTAAGGAATTTGTTGGAATTGGAAGGATTCCTTCACATCTATTATGTGAACCAAACATGACATTTGGAATTTGGTCAAAGATTTGGACATTCCAATTCCTTCCAATTTCACCAAATTCTATGAATCAAACACCCCCAAAGAGTTTTAAGGGGATGTTTGATTGATTTTGTGTTAAGTTTTGTATGGGTAAAATTGTCTGTGTAGATTAATCTGTTTATATAGATTGAAAATATTTTTATTTGTTTGAGAAGGTTTTTTCATGAATGGAAGAAACATAATTTTTAATTTGAAGAGGCAGATTGGAAAAAAACTTATTTTTTAGCATTAAGTTCATCCTAAAAGTTTACTGAATAAGTCATTTTCTATATCATTAAGCGACTATGAAACAATAAGGTATAGCTGACCGAATAAGAGTTGTGTCCCATTAAGCTCATTAAGCTGTATGTGTGTATTAATCTATCTATATAGATTGAGAAAGTTTTTGTTTTATAGAGTTTATTCATAGACGGGAGGAATGTGTTTTTTAATGTGGAGGAACAGGTTTAAATTTTTTTGGCTTACTGCATAAATCTTCCTTCTAAAAGTTTACTAAATTAGACATTTTTCATATATAATTGACTGAATAAGTTGTGAATCTCATTAAACTCATTAAGATGCTAACAAACATGCCTTAAGTTGGTACTTAAGTTCTTAACCAATGAATCTTTTTTTATGTTATGTTCAACCATTTTTTTCTCTGTCTAATTTGATATTTTTTCTGTGTGTTTATTTCTTCTGATATTTATTTGGTAATGCCGCTCCGAAAATAGTTTGGATTTGCTTTTGTATGAATGGTTCGGGTTAGGTAACAAATTAAAACAAGTTCGGATCAAACATATAACTTACTAAGGGGTTGTTTATCAAATACTTACCCGGTAAGTGCTTACCAATAAAACTTAACATTATTATTTACTTATTGGATAAGATTTTAGTCCACCAAAACGACATTGCATGCAACAATTTACCCGGTAAGTGTTTACCGTGGTAAGAGTCGTCGCCCTCACTTACCGAGTAAGACTTTTGGTCCTTGTCTCGCTTTTATCGGGAAAGATTCTTGGTCATTACCATATTCATCCTGTGAGGTAATGTGATTTGGCAAGCGCTTACCCGAGTAAGCGTTTGATAAACGGCTCATAATACGAGCGAAACTGGTCAGATTAGCTTGATCCGCCAATATTTTTTTTATGC